AAAAATATTAAAATAATATATTATAAAGTAAATTAAAATTAATATAAAATTAATATAAATAACACAAAAAATTCATAAACACTTATAAATGTATATAAAAACATTTATATATATTTCTTACAAACATTTTTGTATGCATTCTTTAGTATATTTATTGAATGTGGTCATTTCTAGTTATTTTATTTAATTATTTACGAATGTAAAAATTATTACATTAATACAGCATACGCTAAAATAATCGCTTCTAGTTAGTTCTCTTGCTAGAAATAATTTTTACATTGTAGAATATAATATTAAAAGCGTTGAGAAAACGAGATAGAGTTTGCGTGTTGACTTCAAAGGTTAACTTTTACGACGCATCCCTCGCCGACAAGTTTTTCTTGATACTTTTTACGAGCCCTTCGAGCATCGTTCGGGGTGTTCGACACTTCTAATGGGGGGTGACGCGCGATGGGAGATATTTAATAGTCCAGCAGTTGCCTTTAAGGATCCATCTTTTCCACAGGGAAATATCGACGAAAAAGTTTTCGTATATTTTTTCTTTTTTTTCTCTCATTCTCCCTCTAGCTAGTCTTTTTTTTAAAGAGCGAGTAACAAAATATATATTTTTACGTTGCAATTTATTATTCGTACATTTTCAGATAAATCGTAAGTGAATAATAATAACAAAAAATGCAATACTTTTATTCTGTATATAAAATATTGCTAAACTATTTTCATTTATACATTTATTCGCACACAAATTTATTTTATTATTTGTATATTATTCCTTTTCCTTTTATTTATAAATTTTAATTTGTGAACATCGTTAATATTAATGCATCCAATAAATTTCAAGAATAAATTGCATCGTGGAACAACATAAGCATTCTTGTTTTAATATTTGTAATACCGATAATCTTTATGCATTGTTACTATTTATTATGCTTTCAGAGATTTTACGTTCATGGTGCCATCTCTAGTTATGCATATGCATAACTTTCAGTACCCAGTTGATATTTTAGTTTTTTCTGAACGAAACGATTTTTAAAAATTTAGATAATAAAATTTTAAAAAATAAAATAGAACATACCATAGAGACGAATCTGCATAATTCATTATTTTAAAAAATACTCAATAAAAATATTTATATCTTTATCGAAGAATGCATATTTTCCCGTATGTCTCTCATAAAACAAAATTTAACATCCTTGTAGAAGTTATATTAAAAAATTGTTATATTTTTAATACTGATACATAACATAAACGAAGTTTTTAAACTATAATTTTACGGTTACATTTTACAGTTATGACTAAATTAGTTAATAAGTAATCATGAATTTTGTTTCTTACTTTAATAAAAGTAAAAATATAATTTGCCAATTTAATCATATATTTAAGAAAATAAAATAGAAAAGTTCATCAACTTCAATACACTAAAAACATCGATCAAATTTTAGATTCTACTTTTCATGTGTATGTTTTCTATACAGACTTCGGGTGCTTGTTTGGAAATAAGTAATTTCATTTGAAAAATGAATGGAAGAGAAGGGAAACGAAAGAGACAATCGATTTTTTACGCGCCATGCATTTATTGATATAATAAATGCCGATAATAAAGATTATTTTAATCTTCTTCTTCTTCTGGTGCCGCACCACCGCTTCCTTTCCTCAAATTCTTCCTCTTGACACGACCGGGTCTGCCACCGCCGAAGGGTGACTTGAGTGAGAAGTCGATGTGCTTCTGCGAGTCCAGTCGTACGATGAACGACGGGATGTTCACCACTTGCTTGCGCACTCTGTAACGAGAAGTTAATAATCACTCGATTTCCTCGGTCTCGTGTCATAGAAAATGATCGCAAATTTTTTCGTTACAAAAAGATTCTACCGAAACTTATTCCTCTCTCTTGACGAAAGTAGAATTTCGACAGCTCAACAGGCGTTAAGTGCCGATGAACGACACTTAAGTGGCCTGTTCGAATCAAATTTTCGTTAAGTTAACAATTGAATTCTTGATTGACAATTGAACTCATTGTGTGATCAATCAAGTCCAGTCGATCAGGTGTCGTCCTGATACCTGAGCAACAGAATTCATTCGTTATCTTGCCTTGCGACATTGCATCGAATATTAATGCATTTCAATGTTGCTATTAGATTTGTTAGCGGCGCTTGATTTTCCGCATTATAAAATATTCAAATAATCAAGTCTCTTACTTTAAAATAATTTCTTTTTTTTTTACGCTCTTTTGAAAAATATTGTAAAAATAACAAAATTACAGATTTCAATATTTCTACGGATATTTTAAAAGCTCAATAATTTTAACCAAATTACAAAATATAAATAAGTAAATAAAATTAGTCATATAATAAATGTTTAAATTTGTAGCCTGATATGAAGCCGAAAAAGGAATTTATTTTGTGACCTTAGCCGGTGATTAATTCAGGCTTTTGATTTTGCCTCAAAGATTAGAAGTGAGCCGTGAGAATAATTCGGCCACTTCTTGCCCATTTTTTAAGGCATTTTTTCAAATGATTTTCAAATTAAAATTTGTTTCTCTCTCTTTTCCTGTAAAAATATTATTATCATTTACCGAATATGCCGTTGGCGAATAAGCACGCGGGCATGATGGATAGATTTAGCAAGACCCAGCTTGAATACTTGGGTCTGCAGACGTCGCTCCAAGAAATCCTCAATCTTTAGACCCAATACATAATCGAGCTTCATGTGGGCTTCGTTCAACACGCCAATTCTTACCAAACGACGAAGCAGGGCATTTCCTGTAAATACAAAAGAAATTCTTTTGTATTACGCATAAAAGTGTGGAAAGATTTGGAAAAATCTTTTTAAAATTTTTTAATTTTTCAGAAAAAGATGCTTTTTTCTTCAAACCCTTTCAGACAAGAGGTGTCATAGCTCATGGTGTAATCATCATATTAATTTTCTTTTTTTTAAACTAATCCTCCACCGGTTAATTAAACTTAAAGGCAAACAGTCGATTTCTTGTTGTGAATTCTGATAAATTTAAATCTATAAAAAATGAATAAAGCCAACTTTTACAATAATAAAAACTTATTATTAAAGTTTTCATCAGTGTATATAAATTTTTTCATTTTATAGTTTATACTATACAGTTTAGACTTATACAGTCTAAAACAATATAAATCTGTACTGAAGTTTGAAGATTCAGATAAAAGATGAAAATTTTACTCCGATGGAAAATTAAATATTATATATAATTATTTGAAATGCAAGTTTAACGTGGAAGTTAATTGTGTATCTTAAAACAAGATAAAAATTACCAAAATGAACAAGTTCTAGGTGTTGACTAATGAAATTATAAGTCTATTTTTTGTAACCGATTTAATATACACTTTTGGAATTTAAAATGAAATAGATATTTAATGAAAGAGAGTTCTAGTGTAGGATAATAAAAAAAATAGATGCAAACATATTAATGAATTTGCTTACTTTTGTCATTTTTATCTCATGTATCAAGATACACACAACCTCCTGATTAAAGTATCGATTAAATGTATATCAATAAATATACGTATATGGCGCATATCCAACCTTCGAAGAGACGCTTTGGGTCCTTCTCTTCCAACGTGAGCAATTCACGAGCGGCTTTACGAATCTTGGCCAGGGTATACTTTACCCTCCATACTTCACGTTTGTTACGGAGACCATATTCTCCGATAATACGTAATTCCTGATCGAGACGAGCTTTCTCGTACGGCCTTCTAGGCGTGACGTAGGTCTTGGAGAAGACCGAAGGAATTCTTCC